AGGAGTCGAGAGTTTTCGACATTCGAAACGAAGAGCATGATGATGAGGATGATGAAGAGCATTCACAGGTCTAATAGTGTATTGCAAGCTAACGGCCGCTCTTGCCGTTTGCCCATTTTTTTGGAGGAAAAACAGTCAATTTCAGCCAATGTACCCAGCAAAAGACAACAACAGAACACCTCCGGCTTCGAAGAGAAGATTGGGCGAGGCATAACTACCTAAAACAAGCAGGATAGCGAGCATGAAGTATCGAATTGAGGCACATGACCACCAGAAAAAAAAGCATAGCTAGAGCATAGGTCAGGGCATATTTGCAAAAAAAACGCATAATCGTGGGCATATTTGACTTGTTTCAGGAGCATAAAATAAGAAAAAAAAAAGCATAATGGGCCTAAGCCTATGTGAGATGAGCTCATCAGAAATGCCATGCTCCACATCACGCCTTCTCACGGGCGCAAAAAGCGATTCGTGCTGGTTTCGACCTGATTTCTCGCGATGCTGGCTACCTCGGCGATGCCGAGGACATACAGCTTGAGCAACAGCTCATTCGAAAGCTGCTGTAAAGACCTACAGCACTGTCAACTTTTTGGGGGGGAGTTGCAAAGGCGTGGTTTGCTTTCAAAAAACAAACGCCCATTCTCATTTTTGGATACGTTCCCATTTTTCCCGTAAGTCTGTTGAAAAGTGTAGTACTTAGACTACATCATACATACGCTGAAAAGTGTAGGACACGTCTCACCACGAAAAATGGGAGACTGTCGCCATCATAAATAGGACGAAAACACAACAACACACATACATGACAGCCCGTGCCCTCCGGATACTTCGCGACCATAGCGAAGTATCCATCATCGTATTAAGAACCGGTTGGGACGTCCGGCCGGAACACACCTTGCTTCAGTAGCCTTGAGTACGGAATGCAGATCTATCACTGCTACCTTGGCTTGTGGTGGGATGATGGCGACGAACACATCGCTATAGACGTGGCTCTCAAAGGGTTTACTGTTCGTGTTAGTCATCAGCACACCCCGATCGGACCAGCACATTACCTGCCAAAAGGTGATTGGTGAATTGCCACATGAAAACAAACGTCAGAAAAAGAGGTTGAGAGCAGGTCGCACACGACGGACGATTTGTCGTCAGGACAGAAGCTACGGAAGAACCTCCGACGGGATGCAAATTCAAGTCATTTTTTCGGCCAGGAAACTGTCTGTCGGTCTGACAAACTCTCAAATTCTGTTCTTTTTTTCTGTTCAGTTCTGTTATAGACTCGCAGAGACGTTGTGGACTACTGTCGCAGGCTTGGCTGCACGGCTGGACGCCCAAATAAATACCCGAGAAAGACTCGAGCCATTTCGTGGCGGTGTCAGCAGAGGTCAGGTGTGCAGAGCAGTGCAGACCATCTATGCAAACCGCCGGGCCTGAGGGTGGGATTGGCATCGCAACAAAAACATGTACGTACACAATCAATAAAGATTACTACATCCGTGCGGCATGCGTGCGGCATGCGGGGCTTAGACCAAACAAGAAAAATATCAGATATGGTCGCGCCGACCAGCTGCGAATCCTCTCTTTTTGCATGTTCTTGCATCACCCCTCGCCGCGGCGCTCTCTTCACCCCACTCCGGAGGAACTCCTTGTATTCGTCAGTATTGTAGTCTCACCCCTGCACCCAGGAGCCTGACGGAGTCCGGGGTAAGTAACATAATAGAGCTGTAGAGCCACATTTTTTTTTTTCCACCGAAAAGCACATCATCTGGTCTGCGTCGTGCGTCTTGTGTTGGTAGTCGGTTGTCCGCCAACAACCTGCTTGACCCGGAAACAGCAGTTTTCCGCCAACTTTCTGACACGAAAACACACACAGCAAAAACCGGAGACACTACCACCGCAGTCGTAACTGCACAACAGTCAGGAACCGGAGCAGCAGGGTGGATCATAGGGCAGACTGAGAGCAGTTTTTTTTTGAAGGGCGTGCGCGAAAGGTGCGAGGTCCGTTAGATTATTATGTGGTTTTGTAAATCCGCGCCATCCGCACCGGTAGCGCGGCTCATCTATGGAAGCACGTCAATGCCAATTGCACACTGACTGCTGTGTGTATAAAATTCAATGGGCAAATTGGAGAAGTTATCTCTGCTGCAACTCGCGTTAGGACCAAGATGTGAGGGTCTGAGGTTGTTGTTTGTTGTTTGTTGTTTCTCACATTAGCTCTAAAAAAAAAAAGATTGGGAGCCCGGGGTCTCAAAACCCGGCATACACGACCCCACGAAGAAACAGAAAAAAATAGGGTACAAAGACCACTCGGAAGAGACACAGGTGTGAGGATTTGTCTGAGGTGTGATGATTTACGTATTGTGCACGATCAAAGGAGTGTAGATAAAGTCTACCTGCATCTATCTACAACTTGTAGCATGGATGATACCAAACGACAGCCGTTGGATTCATGGCACACACACACGCCCCAACTTCCCGACTACGAAATTCTGAATGCCTGCGCAATGTATGAAATACCGTGACGCAACCACGCACCACATACCACCAACCAAAGGATCAACATAAACGGGAGTCTTCCTTTTGTTCCGCTCAACGCCTCAATAACTAGACTAGTCTACAGTCTACTTAACTGTTGATCAACGTTGATTAGATGAGGCCTGATCCTTGAACTTTAACTGAAGCGGCTGATGCTACAACAGTAGTTTGGGGTAGACAGACGCTGTGACGCTTTGGCTCTCTGCTGCGGAAGATATGTATATACGGTACGGTATCGTTTTCTTCCAACCTCTTCGTTGGTGGCAAGCGCCGCATGTGTTGGCCTCCTTTGTCTTTGTCTGCCTCAATGGGCATTTTGCCGGTACAGGCAGTTGTGGTGGCGTTTACGAACTCTTTTTTGTTCGGTTGGTTGGAGGGGGGATGATGCTTGATTGAGAAGGAATGACCATTGGTACCTACCGGACCCTCTCGGCCGATTGTTACATACAATTCGATACGTGGTCGGAGGGTACCGGTACCTTGCGGAAGCACGCAATTTTACGTCCGAAGCAGGTTTCATATCGCTGGTATCGCACCGTGTGCGTTACACCGATACCGGTCGGTGCAGAAATGCAGTTAAATCATGCCGTTCTAGATGTTTTTGCGCACCCTGGTGCCATTTCACCGATGGGTGCGAAATCAACGATGAGTGACACAACACGCACAGCTGCAGTTACGGTATATATGTGTGTGTCAGGGTTGGAGATTGCGTATCAAGTGTCGATTAAATTCTGGATCAACATCAATCGGCGATAGGTGTTAAGGAGGTAGACCACTCAGCCACCCGGTAAAAGGTTAACCATTTACCTGGTTGAGACAGGACCTTATAAAATACGCGGTACAGTATGGGTATCATCTCGATGCGAATCGTATGGGTATCGAGATAATGTCGAGAAATCGATACTGGCCCATTCGGGGGGGGNTTAGCGGTTAGACCATTGACCATGCGTCCTCGAGAGGACGGAGCATTGTTCCCACAGGACCAATCACCGATGGCCAATCGTTCCTTCCGGCGTTACCAGAGGTGACTCAAAAATATCTTCCCTATGGTCTATCTGCCCGACCGATATCGCTTCCAGCCTTTGCACACCACTTCCTTTTTCCCAGTACAACCATCGTCTTCTCCTCTCTATTCCATGCCTAAAACATGTCCCTGCTGTGCCTCCCTTGTATTTTTCCCAGCTCAGTCATGTGCACGTCCCTCTCTGCGTACAACTGACAGTCCGCGACTTGTGCATGAACACGGTCTTCGCATTCGAAGCCGCAATCACTTGATCTTGTCGTCTCCGTCGTCTACCGTTGTATGTCTTCTTCGACGCTCTCGAAGGTCCATGTCCCCGGTCCTAAATTTGACCTTCAGCTTTGTCCCTGCATCCATTGGTCCATGTAGGTAATCCTTGAACCCTATTCCTTCTTTCAACATTCCGTACACTTCTAGACCCTCATTATCCTCGTTTCTTCCTTAGATTATGTTCTTCTCTCCCGGCACATGCAACAGAGATCTTCTCCTGGAACCCCTGTAGACCTTCCGTTTCCAGCGTATCATCTTCGTCGATTTCGAACCCCTTCCATACGCCCTCTACAACTTTTGGGTCTCCCATACTCTACAGTATTCCCCATCGGCTCATGGGGCACCCATGGGGCGTTTGTTGCCCATGGATCACCCGTGGGTCACTCCTGGGCATGCCCATGGGTTTGCCCATGGGCATGCCCACAATGCCCATGACGGGCGGCCCATGGCCATGGTGTGCTGCTCACCATGGGCAACCAACCCATCGTGAGCAGCTCGCGGGCAGCCCACGATGAGCGGATGATGCCAGCCTATCGTGGGAAGCTCTTGGGCAGCCCACCATGGGCGGTTTGTGGCCAGTCTATCCTGGGTAGATCATGGGTAGCCCACCATGGGCAGAGAATCGTTGGCAGCTCATGGGCAGGGCAGGAAATGGTGGGGAGCCCATGGGCAGCCTCTGTTGTGGGCAGCCCACCTTGGGCAGCTGATGGACACAGGCCATCCATCATGGGCTACCAACATCGATCTGATGGAAATATAAAATCGTCGAGGACATTGGGCGAAATTTCTCGCGAGTATTTACGCGGGAAAAAATGGTAAGAGTTCGATCCCTGCTTGGTCTATTATAGAACACCTTTATTTCCCCCGAAAAAATATTTTTCCAAAAAGTTTTTCTTACATTGTAGCGTCTCATTTTGCCACCCTATCGCTTTTCTTCCAGTCAACATCAAAGACAAATTACGAACAAGTGAGAATGGCGCTCTACAGATAACTGAATAACTCGAGATTACAAGAAAAAATATATCGGAAAAACACCCTTTGGGGGGCCGTACGTGTACGAGCGAAAACAATCGACACACACACTCGGTTCCGTACTAACATTTTTTTTTTTTTACTCTGTTCCTTACTACATGTTCGCTTGTGATTACTGCCGGAGCAAATTTCAGCAGGGAGGGGATGAAAGATGGCCATCCACGTTTGTTTTTTTCCTGAAGCATCGCCTATATATCCTACCCGAGCATAATGCAAAACCAATTCGGAAGAAAAGGAACATCTAGCCACCAACCCTAACCGTAACCCTCTCCCTATACTACAATAACCGTTGATAGAAAATGCATTCCGAATATCCCAACCGATCTTACATTTCCGATCAGAGGGGTTAGACGGTTGCCCACGGGCAGCCCGCCAAATGCAGACCATCAAAGCGGCCAACCCGCGGTGAGCTTGTTGGGGACGACAATTTGGTCGCCCATGGGCCGCCCATAGCAGGCAGAATTGCTGTGAAATATCGGCAGCCCACCGTTGGGAGTCCACATGGTGAGCATTGAGGGAATGTTTCCCATGGGCATGGTCTTGAACGGCCCATCTAGGACGAAAGTTGCTGCCAACTGTAGGCTCACAATGAGCGTCCCTTTGAGGGTGATTCTTATTGTGGGTAGCCAATGCATGGAAAGATTTAAAGCGTTGGGGGGCGAGTACGACCTGGCAGGGTAATGAAGGGGAAGTAGGAAGTTGACACAGGAGGACTCAAATGTTAGTGAAGGGAAGACGCTGGCCCACGTACGGCAGAAGGGGGATCGCCGTTGTACAAACCTTGTATCCAAATCGAACAAATCCACCCAACCACGATTATATGTTGTCCTCCGAAATAGTCGATCTCCCAACAGAAATCCATCGCCCGAAACCCATTGAACCTCGGAAAGCCTTTGCTCTGTATCCACGAAATTTCAATATTGTATCCTCACATAATGAATAATGGCACTACACATATATACTCCATGTAGGTTTCATTCGGAATATTGTAGTCGAAACTGCCGTGCAGGAATTAATGTATGTCCCCACCAACCAAATACTCAAACTGCCTACCCATGTCAAACCCTTCTTCCAGGGTATATGTGCAAAGAAGCACGGCTACTTCCGAGTGAGGATAAAATCCCCAACGCGTTCGTGCATGTCTCAGTGGAAATCATCGGTAGTTGCCGTTTTGTCACGTGTATGTAAGAAGTATCCATCAGTGTGAATTCCCAGGACAAGAAGTCATGCACTGTCAAAATATAAGCTCTCTCTGCAGGTTAAACGCGAAAGATGCGAACGGCGTGCACAATTGGGACAGCATGACTGAAAACAACGTACAAGCAATGCCCAATGTCAACCTCCTCCCCATCACCCGTGAACGGGGCACTGCGAAATACAAAGCATGAAACATTCAAACCAACACCTTTTCGGAATGCATGCCAAGACCTCGCTCTTCAGAATACTATCCGTCAGTCAGTTGAAATCGTCACGGTACTTCTTGCGGCAAAACATCAGATTCACTACTTACTGTCAACTACCAGGACATACAAACACACGCATTGGCAAGTTATGAGCTCCGCAGGTAAAACGTGATAGTTCCCGATGCGACAACAATAGATGGAACAACAAAAATAGCCGACAACTGGATTCTGATCTCAGCCTCGTGCCGTCACACCGATTGTCAATGCAGCTTTGGTTCTACTTTTTGTTGTCTGCAGTCTTCAGCCACACTTACCACGCATACCTTTGATAACTGGGACCGGGACCGTTTTCGGGCTAATTCCCAACGTCGTGCCCTTGCTATGCTTGTGCGAATTACACGTCCTTAACCCAGCGCCTTCCACGTCAACATCATCAACTTCACAACGAATGTTTCCAGCCGAATCATGAGGACGTGGGCGCCTCCGGTTCCCGATGTCCGGGACCCCTTTGACGTGTTATTTTTTGCTCTAACTGTCCGACTTCTGGGACGATGTCCCCAACGTTCCCCCCGAACGGCAGCAAACCGGTCCAGCACGCCGCGCACGTAGAGGGAATGCATGAGGGAGACTGTGGGCTGATGGGCTCCACGATTAAGAAATGGGCATCACGATCGGCGCAGGTAGGCATGGCATCGATCCAACAAGCATGCACGTAGAGGCTCACCCTGATGTTCGAAATGTCCGGAGTTTGTTCAAGCCGAAGAGGAGGTGTTGATATCCCCAGCTTTCCTGCGAAGGTCCGATTGATACCGCTGGGATGGCGAGCGACTTAGGAGGGCGAACCATGAGGCAGGTCTTGTTACGACAAAATGCACCTCGTGTTGGCCGTTTAGGTGGAATTCATCCACAATGCCGACGCTACAACAAACGCCTGCGAAATCCTGTAGTTGTTGTCGTCGTGATGCCAACCGTGGACTCAAGGTAAAAAAGAAAGACATGACCAAGATACAAAGACAGGTAGGCGTGTATGCTTTCCCACACTCGTGCATGTTTGTTGATCGTTGATGTTTCGCCCAAACGCGCGGCGCAGGGCCTGTTGCTAATTATGGTGCTCGTTCAGAACTCCTCGCCAGTGTCAACTGCACTAGGCGAGAAGTTCCCTGTCGTTGAACCGGGCGAAGGAAGAAGGGATGAAGGACCAACAGCAGCAACAACAACAACGGTAGGGCGAGATTTTCATCCTAGCCAAAACCGGCTTCGACGCGAGGAATACCCACCCTCGCAAGGAAGCCGCAAACGTCACCAACGGCTGCGGGCGGAGCAGGAGCGTACCCCATATGCCCAAGTGTCTCCAAGGAACCACCGTAACATGCAGGGTTGGGGGCGTGAGCACCGAAAACTGGAAGGAATAACCGAAATGCTTCCGCACACGGACCCGCAGCTCTCTGTTGAACCAGAGATGCTAGAAGATGGGAACCATTCCTTGCGGCAGATCAGCCGAGCTCTCAAGAACCCTCCAACCAACGGTTCGTGTCCGGTTGCCGCCCATAACTCCAACTCTGCGGTACTACGAGAAGACCGGCTTCACGCCAAAACGTCGACTGTGATTTTCGGCACCTCCAACGTGTGGGCTAGGCTGCAACAGGCCGCAACCATATCGTCGCAACAGCGATGCCCGAGCCCGCCGTGCTGTCTTGTGAGTGTCGAACCTACTCACCGCAACCATCATGGGATATTAACGTTGCCCACATATTCATATTGAGTACGTTCCTGCACCCACTCGTTGCTGTTCCTTCATTCCGTTTTATGGCGTGCCACTGTGCTGTTACTCCGGCTTCTGCTTTTTCTCCGGCCTGAACCCATTAGTACTTTCAAACACCTCTCTTTGCCTCTCGCCACTCCTCTGTGCTATCACTCTCTCTCTCTCTCTCTCTCTCTCTCTCTCTCTCTCTCTCTCTCTCTGCCTCTCTCTCTCTCTCTCTCTCTGCCGCTGCCTCTCTCTGCCTCTCTCTGCCTCTCTCTGCCTCTCTCTGCCTCTCTCTCATGCAGGGGACCCACGTGCACACGTATCGGGGGGGTGACCTAGGAGAGGAGATGTCGCACGTCCAGGGAGCCGTGGTGGTCCGGAGGCCCGATCTGGCGCAGGCCCCCGTATCGCTGGCGCCTGCCCACGACGTGGACTTCGACAAGACGTTTCAGTCCTACTTCCCCATCTCGCAAAACTCGCTGCTCAGGTGTGCGCATAGTTCTTCCTTTCTATGGTCACCCATTCGTGAGTACTCTTGAGCGAAAGACGGCTTAACCCTTGTCTCGATACAACAAGGTAGTAACTACGAGGGAGACGACTGCAGTAGTACATGGAAAGAAATATAGTCTAATGTTTGCCGATCCAATGTGATGCGCATTACTGCACACCTGTGCTCGAGGTGTGGTACCAATATCGTATGCATATGCACCTCTGTGGAGAGAATGTGCACCTGAATCGGATTTCGCAACATTCCCGGCTCAGGTAGATGTTCTTGCTGTTTTCCTGTCATTTGCGTGCTTATACAAACGCTACCGGGACTACGGTTCGGCCTTTCAGGGCAACTGTGGCAAAACACTTCTGTCGTTTCTTAGTTGTCGGGCATGAAAGGCGCCTCTGGCGGAAAGCGCGTGGTGGTTGGTCCCACTCACATAAGTACATTGTACGGCACATGTTGGCTTCCTTGAAAGCTATGTTGTTTTTGTTTTCGTCCTATTTATTGTGCCGACACTCTCCGCATTTTTCGTGGTGAGACGTCTACTACACTTTCAGTATATTGCTTCGTACAACTGCAACCATCCAGGGTCACACAGAAGGGGCTAAAAACCGGGGCGTTTTCTCTTCCTTTTATTTTCGTGCCCCACCTTCCTCCCGCGGTTCGTGCTGAATTTTGTTATTTGTCGCGAGAAGGGTCGAGCCGCCCCTTTCCTTCGTCAAGGGTGCTAACGTCTAAGTTTGGTGCGCACGAGCTTTTCAGTTTTGTTCGCCTTCACCCGCAAATTGTAATTTTCTCCACACGAAGGGGATTCGAACTCGCGACTTTGCCACTAGCGGTTTTAAGGTCACCCACCGGAGCGACCGGTTTGCAGCCTTGTATTGCTGGTGAAATCCGATCGCATTCGTTTTCGTCGCGCGCAGCCTTGCTCAGCCTCCTGCAGCTGCTCAAGCAGGCGGTAGCGTGTCGGCTGCTGGCATTTGCGTTGGTGTACACTGTTGCAGCGAAATGATGGCTGCCCTCTCACAGCCTTGCTTGCTTATTTCCTTACAGTCTGCTGGAAGTACAGTAGGCCGTCCTAAGGGTTTTCACCTGCTCTGCTTTCTGTAGCGTAACGCATCCCCATCGTCTTGCTCGTGGTTTCTTCATCACGTACTGGAACAGGCGAATAGTCGAGGCCGACGAATTCAACTTGACATCCACGACCCATCACGTGGAGCCGGCGTTCGCCGAGCTATTTGTCGCCACGAATTTCTTTGGTGCCGTCCGAGACGGCAACCCTGCCGCCGCAGAGTGAGTTGGTTACGCCTGGCGCGCGTAGTGTACAACTGGCACTTGTTTTTTTCTTGATATCTGGATCGGGTCGCGGATGTTGGTCAAATTTGGTCATTTTTGTTGTAAAGCAGGGGCTACGCGGACGGAGCGCTTGCCGCCTTGTCTGCTTCGTACGATCCAAACGAAAAGTGTATTGTTGTGATTTTCTCACGTTTGGCGTAGTCCTATTGACTCACCGCTGCTTGAAGGCAACCTTTGATCGTGTTTGTCCTGCTTTTCTTGGCCGTGTGCATAGTATCACAGGACTCAGAACCTGTTCAACTTCGTTGTGAGAGGCCATGTCTTGAAGTCAGTACGAGTTGAGTGTCTGCTGGATCCTGGATTGTTGCGTCTGCTTTTGTTCCTTTCCCTGAGAACCCAGTGACGCACGACGTGACTTTTTTCGTGGGTAATTGCAACACCGGAGCAAGGTTATTGACTCCGTACTGTTCGGGAGAGGAACCAAAGCAAGACATCGAGGAGTGCGTGAGGATCCCTACGTTGGTCAGCATGGCAAACGTTTACACTAACAAGAAAGGGGCCGTGTGGAACGAGAATGTGAGAAAGAGCACCTTGAGGTCATTTGACACTGTAGATGGAGGAAACGAGTGTGCTTACTTGTTGTTGCCGCGCTTGGTGTTGCCGGGTGCCCCGATGGCCTAACGGATTGTGTATTCTCATGTACTCTGCGCCAAGTTTGCTGTCGAACGCGTTTCTTCGTGAAAACCCGTGAGGAATAGACGGCTTACCCTTTCTCGCGTTATCAACACAAAGACCTGCACCGCTGAGCTTTTGCTTTGTGACCCCAGATCAAATATATTCGGTTGAGAGGCAACGCCGCAGAGGACATTGATGCTGTGAGCGGTGGGTAAAGATTATGGACGGAGAGAGAAACATGGAGAGAGGATACGGCGGGGTGGTTTGGAGAAGATCACAGCCCCTTTGTGTGGTATTTGCGTTGGAGGCTCGGGGGCTCAGGTTTTCATATTATTTTTTTCTGACGATATGATTGTGTGTATATGCAGACACTCCGAGTGAAGACATTATTGGTCGTAATAGGGATATTGGTGGGGAGAGCAACCCGTGTTCCTCAATGGTGTTTGGAGGTGTTCACTCCAGAGTGGTCTGGAACGTCGTAGGATAAAGGGATGTGCGGGAAGCAACAACACGAACAACAGTGACGTACTATGAATGATTAACGGCCATGTCTTGCACGATGAACTCGTTGCCGTTTGAGGCGATCAACTTCAACCAGTGTTCAATGCTTCCTGATGTCGAAACAACCGTTTTTGCTCCCTAATTTCATTCTTGTTCATGCTCTTTGTATATTGCCCAATCCACCCCATCCAGGATTACATTTTTCCGGTTAACTGCGATGCCCTATGGCCCCATGATGTCCTCGATGCTCAAGCAATAGTCATGAATGGATCGCCGAACGACCCCCTGCGCTACGGCAAGGTATTGCAAGAACGAAAGTAGGAAACAAAGTACAGGGGCGGAAATGTCGACCGGCGAAGGCGGGTGGGACGGGGTGTATCTATTGAAGTTGGTAAGTTTTGTGTTTTGCTTGTTGCCATATGCATTCGAGTTTGCTCAGCATATCAATGTTTTATTATTTCGTCGATGATGTTGAAGCGACTTACAGTGCTGTAGTATGGTGACGGTAAGCACGATTGTATCGTTGAAATTCGTAGGGGGGACGTTCAAAATGTTTTTTTTGGTAGAATTTGTGTTCGGTTTTTAACGACTGTTTATGTGTCCTCCTTTGGGGGGGACGGTGGAAGGGTACGGAAGAAGCAGTTGTCGTTTCGATTCCACTTGAATCTTCGCCCTGTCTGCGGCCGTCGATAGCAGCACATGATTTGGAGGGATATTTTTAAGCGGAACACGGTTGGTAGTTTTGGCCGATCGTGCACCTTTTTGCCTGTCATCGAATCGTTTCTTTCTTTCATTCATCTTCCCTGTGATCGTCGAACTGGCCGTGTGTGGCCATCGTCCTCTTCTACTTGCACGCGTTTGTCAACCCGATCGCACGTCTTCCGCCGGCTTGTCGCTGTCCGACTCATGGTTTTGTTCCACACTCATCGCCTGTGGCTGCGTTAGGTGTTCGTGATATCCCAAGAGTGGGCCCCGAACTACTACCACTTTACGGCGGAACATCTTCCTCGGATCACTTTGGCCTTGGATATCCTTCTCGAAAACCCAGAAATCAAGGTGGGTGCTGCGGCATGCTCCCCCCTCATGTTTCACCATCGTTAGCTTTGGTTGTCAGGGATTCCATTTTGTTCAAGGTCGCTCGCAACGTCGCGAACATTCAGCACATGGATACCGGCATAATTATTAATGCGTTTAACGTTTGTCTTGGCTGGTCGTAAGCCGTGAAAACTGGTCGAAGCGCGAGTCTTTGCTCCAGCAGCGTCGACTGTCCAAAGCAGCCTTTGACGACTGCACTGAAAAGACCGACTGAACCAGCGTTGACAGATACTCGGTGCATGTTTGCCACACGTTTTTAACATACACCCCGCCAGCGGAGAGAGTCAACGCGTTGAGGCAGTCGCTTTTGCCCTCGCCTGACATATAGCTCGACGAGAAATCGGGGACATGGGACGCCGTTCTGGCTATTCCCTGTCGGTGCTGATTCTGTTGCTGTCTCACCGTGCCTGTATTGCTACAGGCATTCTCTTTTCGTTGGCTTTCTCGCTCTTCAAGTCCTGGTGCTTCCGCCGCTGTTTGTTCCTCTGGTCTCGGCCAGTCATGACATGCACATATGTATCTCAGTTTTCAATTTTCGCTCACGCCCACTGTTTGGCGAGACACGGACAAATGCAAAAGTTTGTCCATGGCCTCAACCGTCAAACAAAGGATGACAGGTTTCTTTCCCCGTGCTGCTCTTGTTTGTGCGAACACTTTGTAGCTCGTTTTCGGACGTCTGGACAGGGAAAGTTCCATTCACATCACCAAAAACAGAAACGACGTCATGCTGATGCTCACGTACTTCGCGTGTCTTTTGAACAACGTCATTCAGATCGCAATGCATCACTACCAGCACGACCGCCTGCATGGCGACATTTCCGCAGTGCGCGAAGTTGAAATGGAAATGTTGGAGATTCTGGGAATCAGCAGAGATCGCGTCATCTTTGCCCAAAGACAGGTGGAACACAAACATATGTTGTCAGTGATGATGCCGTTGTTTATGCAAGCTTGCGTTCACCAGACTGGCTTCACATGCAGACCTCTCAGTCAACAATAAAGGTCATCGTACAAGACAATGCCAAACTCGGCATGCCATCGGCATCCCTGGCAAGTTCATACACCGAAACTAGTGCATCGGTCATTTGCGATGAATGATTGTTGCGAAGTGGCGGTTGTATCCGACGTTTTGAGGGGAAAACGCTGCGTGTAGGTCGGGGTTCCCACGGATGAACGCGATATGCAGCCATGTTTCCTCGACACTGCCACAGTTGCCGCTAAGCGATGGTGATCGTGTCATGAACCCAACGGGAGTCAGCTTCTCTTCAACGTTTTTGAGCAACAGGGCAGCAACTAGTGGATCGTCCTACTGAGGTTTATGGTTAAATTTAGCGAACCAGAAGCACCCTTTACCACCACCCGGACTCGGGAGGTACCGCAGGAAAAGTTATTTGTTTATGCTCGTGTACACGTGCTTTTCATCGTGAAGCCGGAGTTTGAACGCTTGCTCACAGATTCCGCGGCGCCCCCTCGCCGTCGGAAGACTAACGCAGATCTAGAAAACTTTTGCGAGTGTTGTCCCAGCAAGACTGGCCCCTTTTCGCATTTCATCCGGCCAGCGCAGTTGGTTGCGTGCCGATACCGACATGCCAACGAAGTACGCACACCGCGCGTGCGCTGGCACAGATTTGTCTCGGCCTGTGCATCGGTAAGCTCGCCTGATGGATGCTTTCCCAGGCATAGTCCCCGACCCGTCAACCCGATATCTGCTCTCTGCAACGCTAACTGGGAAATCTTTGCCCTGTTCCTTCCCTCCCATCCCAGATCCATGTAGAACTGGCGATTGTGCCAACTACCACAAATTGCGGCGACCCGGACCCTAACATGGTCAACATGCTCAGGAACAGATTCCTGCAGGTGGGCGGCGAGAATCAAACTTTTTTTTTGTGCCAATGGGGGGGCTATTGACTTTGGCCAATGGTTGCCACCTAGGAGGAGATCTGGTAGAATGCATGGAGTATCATCTTCGAAGATCGCACGCTCCGTGGAATGGATATCTTTCATGGAACATAACCCGATGAGTTTGGGGCATGTGGGGCCCCCTAGATCTTTGGGCTTCGCTGTCACTCTAGTCTATGGATCTGTTCTAAGACATGTGTATGAACACTGAATGAAGCTTGCCATCAGCCCATGATGGGACAGACTACTGGTGGCTTGGACATCCCTCTGTTGTCCATAACAATTGGGCAGGGGAATGTACTTTCCTTGCTGGTTATTTCCCAAATATTCGTATTCATACTTGCTGTGTTCTTTGCTTTTTGTTTCGCTGACATGTCGATGCATGTCTCAGTGGTGCAGGTTAGGATGGGTTGACGTTATCTCCTCATAAGCAAGCATGAATGACCCACGACTACCCTGTCCGGTGTCTTTTCAGAGACTTTTCCCGACCACGAAAGGTGTTCCTCCTACGACACCCCGCCCGGTGATAGTGCTCGTTGTGCGCAACAACCTTCGAGGCCTGAGGAACAACAACGAGGTATGTGTACGTGCAACGTACACACGTACATGTTTGTTGTTCACGAAGATAGACTGGCGTCGCAATCCTTTTGTGTAGCCGACGGAGGGTCGCCACCCACAGCCTCCGGTGAGGCTGACAGCCTGGACGATGGTGCTTGGTATCTTATGTGTTGAGTACGCCACGTAGAAATATCGGTCGTGATAGACAGAGCGAAGACCATACATGTAGGATAAAGGGCAAAAAAATATGCAGAGGTCCACGGACGTGGTTAGCACGCTTGCACAGCTCCCGTGAGCGAAGTATTCTGGACAGTCCGGAGATCTCGAAGGAGAGTAGCGCCGTATTGAAGAGGCTATCCGATGCGCAACATTGTTATTTTCCTTTTATTTCAATTATGGTCATGTCCTCTTCGATACAACACGAACAAATGCCGACAATACGAATATTAGGTGAAGGAGGCCCTGAAAACAAACTTTCCGAGCTTCAGCGTGGTGGAGTTCTTCGGCACAGGTTCCGTCCGCGACCAACTCAAGACCTTCGCAACCGCGGCCATGATCATAGCTCCCCACGGGGCCGGGCTTGCGAACATGATCGTCGCGCCGCTGCACACTCCGGTGCTGGAAATAGGCGCGTTAGCGTGCCCCGCCTGTTTTTTGAGGCTCGCCTTGAAGGTACCTATTGGCCATAGGGATATGGTGTGCGTTGCAGGAGTACGAGGCTGAATTTTGGGTGGGGATTACTCCTCCCTTCGCTGGCGTTGAGCGTGCTGCACGACAAAATAGTAGCGCCCAAAATCCTGGTTGCTGCCAGTGTCTGGTGTTGAGTGCGCGGACGGCAGGGCGCTCGTGCGGCTGTAAGATTCACTGAGCGTAGCACAGACCGCCTTCCCTATCCGAGTTGTTTGTGATTCACTTCTAACGAATTGGGTGTTTTGTAGGTCAGCAGTGAGAATGAAGCGGTTTCTTTACTCCCAGCAAACACGCGTCTTGCGGACGCGCCATGAATTACTCTCCTATCCGTTGGTTGCACTGGCCTCACCTTCTGCCACCAGAATGAAGCGGTTTCTTTACTCCCAGCAAACACGCGTCTTGCGGACGCGCCATGAATTACTCTCCTATCCGTTGGTTGCACTGGCCTCACCTTCTGACCACCAGTTGCCGATCCGGACCGTCTTTTCTATGTCGCACCGACAACGTTTTCTGCGAAAAACTGAATAAAAGCTTCACCACATCTACGCCAGACATCCCGGGGACGACTGGTCACAAGAATGTCATACATGGTACGAGCCAGACGTCGATGAAATTGTCGACCTCGTAAGGTGAGCGAAACCTTACCTGATATTGTGAAAAAAAAACTCTGGTCGTGTTTGTGGTTGTGATACGTTGGGGCAACGTACTTGTCTTCGTCAAATATGAAATGGGGCCTAATCAGCGTCTCACCACACCTTGCGCTGGTGGTATTGGCTGGAAACGTGTTTGATTTCGTTCATTGGCCATTTCACGAATGATGTCGCAGGAACATATGTATTATCGACATGAAGTGCCACGATGTGGTGTGGATCGTGTATTCCGAGCTTCGCCGATGGCTGAGTTGGGGTTTGCAGCAGTGCCAAAGGGCAGCTAGATATTCACCGAACGAATAGAGTCGAGTCATTTGTACTGTAGACAAAAACGTATTCCAAATCGGTGGCTTCAACACGAATCGCACACATGGGATCCAGAGTGCGAATGAGAGTTGACTCGGGCCGAATATCGAAGAAATTTCCATTCTCAAGTAAGGTGTCGCGACCAACAGGCACGTGCTTGGGTGTCGTTCGAATGCTTCAGGTGAACCCATCCCTGAGTGCAGTCTGGTCTGCCCAAGCTTAAAAATCAGCCCCCGCCTACCGCTAGGTTTCAGTGGATGTTCCGAAACCGTTGCTGTCTGGATGCATCTAACAATGTTGCAGGGATCTTCTCAAGGCTAAACGACAAGCTGGAGATGCCCTGGTACCCCCTCAACCAGCATTCGCCCATGAAAAACAGCCGTAGTTTCCGCGGCCCACCACGGCCCGGCTTGTTTGCCTCTGGGAACCCTCGCAAAAATGGTTCCCGGGAAAATTCCAAGGGGGGAATAATGTTCGAGTCCCTACGATAGATGGTCACTCGCTACACAGCCGGGACGGAACGCCTCAGATGTTTGCCAAGGCACAGGGACCGGGCGGGGGGCGTTTGGCCCACTCGAGCCAATCCGGAGGCTCTTTTGTTAGGTGGAGGACGAGGTAATATCCGGAATCCCGTGGAGACATTCCACCCCCCTCGTTCACGGCGATGCGCACCCCCCTGCGGGGCGGGAAGATCAACATGGGTTGGTGTTCGAAAGTCAACATGTGTGGTTCTCCAAATTTGCCGGTGAAAAATAGTTGTTCACTCATATTGGGTTTCTACTTAAGCTGTTTTGGGCTGTGTGTTGTCGTTCATGTGTGTTACGGGTTCCTTGAACGATGTTCCCCGAACTAACCAATGAAAATAGCTCATACCCAACACGTTGGTATGCGGGGTCCTCTGACAGTGAATGTGCTTTGTTTTGCTAGTTTGCATCGCTGGTTCTTATCAACTGACAAATGAACAGGCGTCTGCCGTTTTGTGTGGACAATAACGCGAATACGCTTTTAAGACCTCAGGTTATTTGTGCATATATGATAAAGAGTAGACATGAACCAGGCTAGAGGGCTGAGGAACGTAAGACGCAATACTAAAAGCAGCATAAAAAGCGCGAGAACGCTTTCCATCATCGTGGTCCCCCGGCAGAGGTGTGTGTGTGGCGGGTCTTGAGGTTTGGTTACTATCAAAACACCTTTGCGGGTTGTTCAACGGCAGCATTGTCTATGTCCTCTAGGACACCCACCCCCTCCGGACTCTTCACTTACTTTCTCCCTTTTTTTTGGACTGGTCTACGCTGCCGTTTCTGTCAACCCTCCCGTGTCGTTCGCTTCTGTTGAGCATGTGACACGGGCTAGATTCGTTCAATGGCATCACTGAACCGAGAAACAAGCTACAAAGATGTTTTGCATTGCGCTTCAATCTCACGCTAACCCTGGGAAGGGTAGACCCAAGATGTTCGCATCTCCTCGTGTGCCTGAAGACGCGTTTATCGCACCATCGTCCGGCTGGAGATTGTAATTTTTTTGAAGTAGGTTCTGTTTATCACTTTCTCCATGTTGTGGGTCCTGTTTGTCACTCTTATCAATTGTATCACAGTGTTGGGATTGTTCGATTTAGATCCGAGGTTGGCATATTTCGTTATCGTGGCGTACTGTATCTTGGAAAGCGATTGTTGATGAAAAAACTTGCGGAACCCTTGTCATCTATGATGAAGATATGTACCACCTAGGGTTTTCGTTTGTCTTGGGATCGGACCAACCTAGATCAGGAGGCAATGCCGAGTACGGTAGACATGAAACTTCGAGCGACTGGTGGGGTCATGATTGAATGACGACAAAGTGCACTGTGTTGGCTCAGTTATCGAGCATGGGCAAATGAGCCCTACGTCATGTTTTGCGCATTTTGTGCCCCTTGTTACTGTGTCGTAGTCGACAGAATGTATTCGGCCGATGTGTCTTATTTTTCGCGATAATTTTCTTTCCCGTGGGGGTCTTCTTGCATGGTGGTACCTGGTGGTCACGAAAAGTCTTGTATTTCCCTTGAATGGAGACGGAAGCAAAGGTAGTACCTAGAAGGCGGAACGGTTTACGAATGTAAGACAACAAGATGGTAACAGTCGACCCCTCTCGCGTCTTGTGCGTCGTTATTTTGGCAGTGGGTGGCAAAGATAGGTGTAAGTGCGTGTCATCCGTGATTGCTTTACTACAGCATATCGTAGACAGACGTCGCGGCCCAGCATCGCTGGGACGGAACGCCTCAGATTTTCGCCAAGTCATGCAGGGGGGGGCGGGGGAGGGCTTTGCCCACTGCAGCTGAGCGGAAGGATCTGTGTTGTCTGGAGGGCGACATCGTTTCCGGAATCCCTTGGAGGCATGTCTTAGTCATCAAGCTGTCCCGGCAAGGGTGTGTCGGTGTGGTTCTGGCCGTGTGAATCAGACGGGCGCTTGTCGCCTGCAGATGACCGAGGTTTACTCAGATAAAAATTACGGGTTGTTGAAGGACATCGGCCCCGTTCAGGCTCATTGCCGTGTTGTTGTTTCCTTGACTCTCATGTACGGGTGTATGCTTACAATTGTGTCGGTCCTCTTGCTTCGTTCGCTTCATGCTGAGCATGTAGCATGGGCTAGAGTTTCTCAGATACTGCCACCTCATGCGAGAAAAAGCGACAGCACCAACTTGTGATCCTCGTTGCGTCTATTTGGTGGTTTCCACACCTCAGACTGCCCTTGGGAAAGCATGACCCAAAATGGGCGCACCGCCTCGCGTGCCCCACAACGTCTACCGCACCATCGTCAATCTGCATTATTTTGTGTTGCAGAAAAGTGTTGTGTTTCGTATTCATTTGTGTTGTAAAGTCAGATTCGATTATATCCATTTCTGATTGGGGAAATTAGTCTTAACTGTGTACGTGAATTCTCTTTGCGAATCCTTCCCATGGCGTCCTTCAATGTATTCCTCTGCTCTGGGTGAGCGAAGAGTCCGGGAGTGTGATGGCGATGTCCTGCCAACGGAGGTTGGCTATTTCCTTTGGTACAATGTGTGTGGCGAGGAATGCCAAGCTTGACCGAGCGAAGTCAGTCAAGCTAGGGTGGTGCGGAAAGTGGGCGAGCCTTCGTGGACCCATTTTCCCATTCTCCGAAAGATTCATCAACACGTGGCAGTCGTTGGGAATCACAAGAGTTGTGGACCCTCGGAGAACGGTAATCTATTAGTCTGTCACATATTCCCTGAGATCCTACTTTATGTACGTGTATCTGTGCTCCCCGAATCTCCATATCCTGACCTCCACACTTTGGCGAGACACAGTAAAACCCGTTCCGTTCTCAATGCCCAGTACCTTCTTCTGTCCTTACTCGTCGAGCACTTGACGGGGTCGATTCCCGTGGTCACATCACAGGCTAACTTACCCAAAAATAGGTACACGAAAATATAATAGACGCGAAGGGTCCGCAAGCCAATAGAGGTCAACGACAGATAGTCTAGGCCACTCCGCTCGCCTCTACACGCTATGCGAGGTAACCCTAGATTGGAAAAAGCAGAAAAAGAAAAAGAAGAAAGCAGATGGAGAGAAGGGCAAGAGAAGGAGAAAGACACATAGACACACGCCGTAGCGACAAACAACAAACACACAAAAGAGAACAACACAAATACAACACAAAGCGGGCCACCGAGGCAGCATTTGCACGTCTTCGGTCGCGGGCGGTTGGTGCAATGGTGGAGTGCCCGGGGGGGGGGGGATAAGTCAAGCAAGGGGTTCAATTCGGCACAGTGTTGCGCGCCACTTGGTCCGCCTCTTCGCGTTTCCTGTCTTTCCTCGCCGTCTCGTCCGCCTGCTGTACCCCTCCCGCCCCCGTGGTTGTTGCCGTGTCCGTGTTGTTGCCGTGCTTCTCGTTTCGTTCGAGCGTTCGTTATCGGCTAGCCTCCTGTTCCTTCTTGTGCCAGGAGGCCATGAGCCTCTTAGCTCCCTGCAGTATGCCTGTACGCCATGGTACCTCCCGGTCCACCTTCGCTGCTTCCATCCAAGTTGTTTCCGGGACTCCAATGAAGCATGGCTCGACGTCCGTTGATCCGTGCTCTGCTGCGAACATCTTGAAGTCGTCCTTCAGGCATATCTGACAGTTTTGATCCGGTTCCCCCCTCCCTGGGCCCTCCCCCCCCACCAGCTCGCCAAGCATCACCCGTTTCGGGAGTCGTCCGTCTTGCTGTCTTGCCAGCGCTCCCGCGAACAGCAGGCGCCGTTGCCGAATAGTGGTTTCCACGCTCTGGCACCCTGCCCTCTTCCGGGTCTGGGCCTATAAAAGCTGCCGGTAGGTGCCCTTCTTGCGTTGGTAACCAACAACTCGCAGGAGCAGTCGGTGGTGTATCGTCCGCAACGTCCGGTATTGATCCTGACCTGGGGCCCATGTCATGCAGTCGTAAAGCAGTGCCTCCATCGCCTCGGCCTGGAGCAGGCGGGTCTTGAGTCGGAACGGTGCTCTCGGCCTGTCGAAGAGCTTCTGGCCATATTTCCTGACTTATGCCCACGCTGCTCTGTTCCGGTAATTGATCTCCCGGATGAGGTCGCCATGTTCGTTGACGAGGCCACCTATTTGCCGGAATCCAGTCGTCTGGGCGTACCTCTGCCCTGCTTCCTCGATGATCAGCGGTGGCGGTGTGGGGAGGGCGGTGCTGTTGTTGTCTGTTTCTCCTTTGCGCGCATCAGGAGCGTCTCCGTCTTCTTCTCCGATACCGTCAGCCCGAACTCCCCGAACACCTCCACGACGACGGTCATCATTCTCGCCAGTCCTTCGGCAGACCTCGATACAACGCCGGCGTCATCGGCGTACAGCATCCCCCATACCGCCCTCCGCACTCGGTCAAGGAGTGTCGTCGCCCACGCTCCCGTCTCCTCCTCAAGGTACACCAGGTTCTGCAGAATTTCACCATCCTCGCTGAATCGAATGGCAACAACCTCGATGACCGCGGCGAAGTAGATGTTGAACAGAAGTGGGGACAGCACACACCCTTTTCGTAGGCCTTGACCTAGAACCAGGCCGAGAACTCTCCGTCGTCCATGCGCACCCGGGTTCGCATCCGTCGTGGAATTGGCGGATGACGGCGATCATCTCTTCAGGAGTCCCTGCCCTGGCCAGCACCCTCCATAGCAGCTCTCGATCCACCGAATCATACGCCTTCGTCAGGTCGACGAAGCACGTGTGGAATGGTATTTTCCTTTTCTGCCCCAACTCCTGGAGTCGGCGCACGACGAACAGCATGGCGATGGTGGATCGCCCAGGTCGAAACTGTTCCTCCGGGAGGATGTTGTTGGTTTCTCAGAAGGCGCTCAGGCGGTTGGTGATGATCTTGACGGTGACCTTGCCTACGTGACATAGGAGCGAGATTCCCCAGAAGTTGTTGCAGTTGGACCAGTCACCCTTCTTGGACAACACCTTGATGGCTGCGTCTTTCCACTCTAAGGGGATCTCTCCTCCGTTCTACACCTCAACGAGGCTGGCATGGGGGTGCTCCAGGATGATGGGTTCCTCGTCGTCGTCCTTGACCTTGAGCAACTCGGCAGGGAGGCTGTCATTGCCGGGTGCCTTCCAGTTCTGCAGCCCTTTCGTTGCCCGTTCCACTTCCTCGAGGTCTGGCACCGCTCCCAACCGTCGAGTGGTACGTGTCACCGGTCGCTGCGTCACTTGTTCGATGATATCTGGTTTCAGGGCGGGGGACTTTGTGTTGAGGAGGGTGCCGAAGAATCTCGCCCATCGCTGGAGGGTGTCGTTCTTTCTCCGGAGTAGCACGCCATTCTTGTCCGCAATGGGCTACTGTCCTCCCGCTTGTCTCCCATTGAGCCCCACTGAACTCTTGAGGTGTTGGTAGAGGTCTCTCGTGTCGTGGTCCTTGTGGATAGTATCGAGTTCCGTCACATATCTGTCCAGGTGGGCATATATGCCCGTTTCGACTCCTGCGGTCACTCCCTTACACGCTGCTTCGAGGACCCTCCACGATGTTGTGTTCAACTTGTCCTTCATCGCTTGGCGCGCTTCGCGCCGTTTGGTGAGGGCCTCCTCCAATGCTGCTCTGCGTCTCACATTATTCCTGCGTGCGTCGTCTCCGCGGTTCCTCGGGTAGTTTCGCCCTCGCTGCTTCGAGGAGAGAATTGGTGAATTCGGTCGCGTTCTCCGGGGTGGTGGTCGCCCGTTCTCCCTGCCGTTGGTCGAGGTTGAGGAGGAACCGCGCAGTCACCGCCCATCACGTGGCTTCGACCTGCAGTTCCCGTCGGTTGAACTGCTTGTGTTTCGGTTTGGTCCGGACTGCTCGGTTGTGGGCAAGCTTGCCACCGAGGTTGACGATGGCTATTACCATGTTGTGGTCTGAGTCCGCCTTGACTGGGTGTACCGGCTGGGGAATGACAACCCTGTTAGACACTCGGCCGTGGTGTGACGGCCACTTTAGAATGTAGTCGGGGCGCCAGCGGTCGGTCCCTGACGCACCGTTGTTGTTCGTGAGGTGGATTGTGCCATCTTTACGAAGGCTACTGCGGTAGTACATGTATACTCATGTGTGGTGTTGTGCTATGCAAGTGCAGAAGTACGTGGCCGCTCATCGTTCTTGGAGCTTCGGGGTATCTCCGGTCATATCTTTGGCAAGTTGTCACGTGTTGCGCTAACGTGTTCCGAGTTCCGAATGCGTCTTTTACTGCGGAGAATTTCTTGCGCTTATTGCTCGTGTACGTTGGTGTTTGTGATGCACCCTGGTTCCCACTATCGTCCGTTGCTTGTTTCTACGAGAGCAACTAATAAAACGACCTTACCATCTCTTCACTTTGTCAACCGGGACAGCCTTGTTCATCCAGCAGCACTAATAACTAGGCTTGGGGCCGATCAAAAGTTGTGTGTGTGCCATATTCCGCCCTTGCGTGTCTCGAAGAACGTGTTCGCGAGTGCTAGCTTGTTTTCCGCTGCGAAGGTCAGCAGTGGTCGGCCATTCTCGTTTAGCTCATCACGCCCGTGTATTCCCATGACGCCCTCATCCTCCTCGTCCATCCTCTCTCCCGTCCGAGCATTGGTATCCATTAGGATATACATGCACTCTTTGGAGGGAATCCTCCGCACGAGACTACCAAGTTTTCCCCAGAACTCTGTCTTGCTGTCGGCGGCGGCGACCTCGGTTGGGGCGCAGCAACGAAGTTGACAGCTCCGCGGTGGCCCGTAATCTCAAACCTCATGGCCAAGAGGCATTCATCGACATAATTCGTGGTGAAAGTGGAGGTCTTGCAAGCACAGTGACCACACCAAATGGATTTTGCGCTTCTCCTTCTCCGTTGTACCACAGCGTAACACTTGGAAACCGGCTACTGCGAACTCCGTTTGACCTGGCTTCCTGGTCTTCTGCAGCCCTAGCACCGATACATCTTGCTCCGCTGCCTCGTGAAGGATGCTGTTGGCTCGCCCGTACCGATTCTTCCCGATGGATGGATATGGAGAACTTTGAAAAATAAATACACACCCAGAGAGACTACCCCTGTACCCATTCGAGAAATGTATACCGTATACCCACAGCAGTCGGCTATGCGGAACATGAAACATTCGCAAATCTCGCCGCATTTTGGTGTGTCGGCCAACAAAACTTTTTTTTTCTGTCTCTCCGCTGTCTGTCGTGTATGAAACACATCATAGGCCAGCCAGCTTGTTTTTGACCCTGTGCGTCAATCCCGCCTCGTATCACACCAGTTGCAAACGGAGCAGGAAGAGGAAGAGCACACTGACAACAGGAATAGTACTTATTCAAGCTACTGAAGGTGAGATGTGTTGGGGGGGGGCTGGTGTTGTGAGAGCGATGAGAAAGGTAGAAGACGCGAGCGGCGGCGTTTGTCATCCCGTTCTGCAGCTTCACACACATGCCCATCACACATCGCCTCTCGGCCATCTAAAAGACTCCATAAACTCCGAGATGGGGACATCGACATCATGATCAGGGCGCTGAACCCTTCCACTGCAATGTTCTTGAGGCAATCGATAATCTATTCCCAGACACAGCAGTACGTGATGGTCTCCCAAGACACGTACGCCTTGGTGCTTTGCACCACGGCGCGCCGCATCTCAGCGCGTGGTCAATCCGGAGCTCACTCGCTTACACAGATCGGAGTAACTGCACTGCAAAACAGCCTCCCGGCGATCTGCTGCAGGTAGGGACTAGCAACCGGTGTGTGCAGTGTCCACATCGCCTGATAATCTGGCCAGACATATCGAGCATCACATGGATTGACCAAGAGAAAAGGTTCTTGTGGGTTGTTGTTGTTGTCTTCACATTAAAAACCATCCCGGTCTCTCTATCCAGTACCTCCTTCTGTCTCAATCTCTCCGTACTAATCCATCACTTGACTCGGCCAATTTCCGTGGTCACAGGCTAACGTACCTAGAAAAGGTATACCAAAATAAAAT